TAAACCAGTGTTTCCCAACCTTTTTTTAGTCGCGGCACCCTTTGGAAATTTTAACAAATTTGTGGCACCCTACAAAATTAATTTTGTCACAATACTTGAATTTCTAACTTTGATATGATACCTTGAAATAGATATTCGGTACAACAAGGAAGAACTGTAGAATATACTGTAATACAGATATTTTTAATATTATAAACATTTTTGTCCATCAATGGTGGCAAACAGTAGGCTAATTTCTAATGAAGAGATCAAATGATATGATAGATTTTCATGTAGGCTTTTATTTATATGTAAACATGGTTTAATTACCATTTTACCTAGCATTTTGGTGCAGTAGCACAAGATAGCTTGATTTCAAACTTTGAATTGAATAAAAAAATTACAAGTAAGCAGTCAGTAATAAAATAAGAACAAATAAACAAATTACTAATGATAGCACAAAAAATAACGATACAAATGAAATAAATTGCTTTTTAGTTTTTCAGGTAGGTCTAACAGTAGGGCTATTAAGAGATTTAGTTGTTTTTTTGTTTTTTTTACCAATTATATCCAAATGATGTTTAGTCCTAGAAAGCTATGGTTTATCAAAACGTGAGCATAACATAGCGGTTAGCAGATCAATGAATGAGAGGGCAGCGTTACCAGAGTTGCGCATATACCACACCACGTTACAGCTCAGTAGGGCTGTTGCAAACAGAAACAATACTGTACAATTTTTCAGGTAGGTCTAACACACAGTAGGCGCTATTAAGAGATTTTTTTTTAAAATAATTACCAATTATCCAAATAATGTTTAGTCCTAGAAAGCTATTGTTATCAGAACACGTGAGCATAACATAGCGGTTAGCAGATCAATGAATGAGAGGGCAGCGTTACCAGAGTTGCCCATATACCACACCATGTTACAACACAGTAGGGCTATTGTAGACAGAAACAATACTGTACTACATCAATGTTTCCTGTCGGCTTGATTTTTGAGTGGACTTTGCTGTTCCGATGAGCATGAACGGTATATGAGTGGAGCGCTTGAGCGGAGCGCACACGCATAGCGCGGGATAATACGCAGAGCGTCACACCACGTGAAAGTGAAACCTGAGCGGTGAACTAATTTTCGGCAGCCGGAATTTCGGTGCATCTCTAATTATTGGCAACATCAGAAATGGATATTATACAATAGATGCTTTTTTTGAATATTTTAGGAATTTAAAAATCTTAAAGGATTTTTTTACACGGCACCCCTGCTCTCGACAGATGGCACCCCGCTTGGGAAACACTGTTGTAAACAATGTGTCACGTAACGTCTTCAATGTTTAATTTGTTTGAATAAATCCATCAAGTATTAATTAATTGTAACTTTATTATTTTAAAAACTTCATTAAATGTAATTTTAACAAATCAGTCAAATTTAACCTTCAATATTATAGTAATGTATTACCAACTGACTCTCATGTATATTTTGCAGCATTAGTTGAGAGATTTTTTTTCCTTGGGAAAATTTGGCATGTACTGTACCTGATATATATCCAATATAATCGAATCGAATCACACGCTTGTGAATGAGAATTGAATCGTGAAATTTGTGTCAAAACCCAGCCCTAATAATACAACACAATTGCTTATTTCGCATACATAGTTACACATTCTCTCTCTCTCTATTGTTCTCCATCCCAGGAGCCAGTCATGCCTGCCAGTGTGCGTACTGGGACCCCGAAGGACTCCGAGGTGTCTGAGCTCTTCTACAGGGATGATCCTGAGAAGCTGTTCACTGATCTCCGCGAGATCGGTCATGGCAGCTTTGGAGCCGTGTACTTTGTAAGCAAGCCATGCCGATATTTGTGTGCCGTGGACATTTGTGTACAAGCTCTGTATGACCGTATATTTCTTTCAGGCTCATGATGTACGTTCCAACGAAGTGGTGGCCATCAAGAAGATGTCGTTCAGTGGCAAGCAGTCTAATGAGGTCAGGATCAATACAATTTGAATCTCTGTAGTACTGAATCAGACAGTTTGAAACTCTCAAATCACGTTTTTACTAATGCTTGGTGTGTTGGTCCCCAGAAATGGCAGGACATCATAAAGGAGGTGAAGTTCTTGCAGAAGCTCAGACACCCCAATACCATCGAATACAAAGGGTGCTACCTCAGAGAGCACACAGCATGGGTAAGCAAGTACACATATGTATGTGAGCGACGTGTTTGTCTGCCGTGTGCTAATGTTGTCTGTCTCTCCTGTTAGCTGGTGATGGAATACTGTCTAGGATCAGCCTCTGATCTTTTAGAGGGTGAGTAGTTCATGTTTATCCTTCCTCACGTCCTCCTTTCTTTTCAAATAAAGCTGTTATGCTCTCCCTCATTAGAGGTGTCCGTTTATATTTGCTGTGCTGTAGTTGTACCATCATCAGTTGGTTTATGCAGGTGTAAATATTGTAATCATCGGATTTCTGGATTGTGTTGTTTTCCCCCTGTGAAATATTTTGTCTTTTTATCCTACAGTGCATAAAAAGCCTCTGCAGGAGGTGGAAATAGCTGCTATTACCCACGGTGCACTTCAGGGCCTCGCCTACCTTCACTCTCACAACATGATACACAGGTGAGACCCTTCCAGCTTTCTGTTTTTATCTTTACATCAGCTCGCTTTGTTGAAGTTTCTCAGCTTGTCAATAGATTTTTTTCAGTGCTGAAAGATGCATAGGTCTTTATTTCTGTGTTTGTCTTTTTCCAGAGATGTGAAGGCAGGTAATATTCTGCTAACTGAGCCAGGTCAGGTGAAGCTTGGAGATTTTGGCTCTGCCTCAATTGTTTCTCCTGCCAACTCTTTTGTGGGTACACCTTACTGGTAAGTTGTAAATGCAATTGATTATTTGGTTGAAGGGACTATATTCTATGATTTGGTTTTACTTGAAGTCATCTTATAATTATAGTCAGGTTTGCTTGTCCTAAATGAGCGTAAACAAATAATTATAGCATTTTTATACATTTATATAACAATACACTGCAGTTTAAAAGTTTGGGGTTAGTAAGATCAGTAAGAAATTAATACTTTCATTCAGCAGGGAAACAAGTCTTTGGAAGTTAAAGGCTCAATATGTAATTTTCGCGCTAGAGGGCGCGTATTCAAAACAAACAAAGAAGCAAAGGGTAGTTTGATGACACCGTGACTGAGTGTGGAATCATGGGAGTTGTGGTCTTCATCCCCACAGCCGATGCAATCCGACGGGACTCGGGCAGAAATCATGTTCATGGATGAGCTAATGATTTATTAACGTAGTAGAATGAAGCAGGGTGAGGCTGAAAGCCATCGAAGCGAAACGAGGCCGCTGAACGACAAGACACACGGCTCGAAAGCAGCGGAGCTTTTATGCCACAGTCGACCGCTTCCGCTCCTTCCGGTCGTGCGTATGTGGGGGAAAAAAGCAGCGCTGTTTTATCATACTAGACGTTTGAAAGTTCTGTTATAATGCTACTCTGTGCGGTCGTCACCGGTCTA